ATATATCATGAGATTAATTCACTATTACCAAAAAGCCAATTATTTAATAATGTACTGTCTTTATAACTTAAGGATTTTAAGTGTCACTCAAAAGGGGGCCTAATGGTTAGAGTCGGACTCGTAACCCAAAGGTTGCGGGTTCGAATCTCGTACCAGCAGGGATTGTAGGTGGGGGGAGTGAATGTACAGCGCTCTCTCCCACCTTCAATACCACGACTGAGGTGCCCTTGAGCAAGGCACCGAACCCCCAACTGCTCCCCAGGCGCCGCAGCATAAATGGCTGCCCACTGCTCCGGGTGTGTGTTCACGGTGTGTGTGTGTTCACTGCTGTGTGTGTGCACTTAGGATGGGTTAAATGCAGAGCACTAATTCCAAGTATGGGTCACCATACTTGGCCACATGTCACGTCACTTTAAAGGAATAGTTCACCCAAAATGGAAAATTCTGTAATCGTTTACTCTGATGTCATTGCAAACTCAGAAGACTTGTAAAATAGTGTCTACACAATTTTTGTCTTTTTGAAGCTTGCTAGAAAGTCATACAGGTTTGAAACCCGTATGAGGGTGAGAAAAAAAATTTTTGGATTGAGTATTCCTTTGCAATGTGAATTCAACTCGTTGTGCATCAAAGAAAGCTAGTTTATTCTCTAAATTTATACATAACAGAATTACACATCTCTTACACAACTCTCCCAAACATTTGTAATGAACATTCATGGTCTCACATTAGAAACTGATTTATTTTATTCTGATCTAGGTGATGGCAGAAGACCTCAATCCAGAGAAGATGAGAGAGGAAAACCAAGATGGAGAGAGTTTATCAGGACTTTATATTAAAAAATTTGATGACAGGTGGTGGAACAAACTACACAATAAAATGCAGGAGGAGACTCCATCTTTATCCATGCACAGACCTCTGGAGGAGACAAAAATGTACTTTTACACATGAATGTGGATCTCTTATTGGTGCTTTTACTGTCACAGAGCAGAATAAAGTTGAATGTGTTAAAATAAATAAAGTTTCTACATCTACTAATACAATCTACCAACTAAAGCATTAAAATAACCTGCTCTAGCACCAGTGGGAAGTTGCAGGAACACCTCTGTTGATGTGATTGCCCTGTATTGGGCGCCAAGGTTGGCTCCTCATATTATAATCTTTGAAAAGAGGAGGCTGATAAGCAATGGGGTGATGGATCGTGTTCCTCCGTGGAAGCCATTGAGATCTTTGCAGTCCAGTGGTGACGTTTGGATAGCTGGTTTGTCTGACCAGGGCAGGAGCTGTCGGGAAACTCGGGTTCCTGGGCTTACGAGGTTTCTGTTGTAGGTGGTCGGGAGTGTTTCCAGCAATCCCTGCCGGGCGCATTGGGATCTGGAGTTTCTCAAAGGGTAGGCAGAGATCACCGAGATCTGATGTGTGGCAGGTAAATCCTGGGATAGGTTTGGAAATTGCATAGAGTCTGCGAAACTCCAGGTCGAAAGGTTTAACCCCGCTGCCTTTGAAGAGTACGGCCAAGCTTCTGTGAACCTGCCAGGACAGCCAGGTGAGACTGCGACAGAGTGAAAGAGTCATCATGGAAAAAGTCACAACAACCAGGTAAAGTTTCTGCATCGCTAGCAGCAACAAATGAAAGAGCAATGTGCTTTAGCGGCCCAGATGGACCAGCTAATGCTGAAGAAATTAAACATTTCACCGTTAAAATTATAAAGAGGTGATACTGAAAAGAAAGAAACGAATTAAAATACTGATTTCTATCAAAACCAGGATTTTGGGTTAAAATTGATAACTTGTATCTTTAATCTTAAATTTCTCAAAAAATGAATGTCCTCAAAGATGAAGTTTCAGATGGTACCTGTAAGAGCCGACCAGCACTTTAGTGCAGTCCACAATGATGAATTTCTCTTTCATCTGTCCAGTGAACTTTCTGCCCGATTTGGCACAGTATGTTTCACCTTGAACACTACGAATGGACATTCTCTGTTGTATGAAGAGAAAGAGATAAACAAGCACATTGTCAATAAAGAATTCATCCACGTTTTTCATTTCATAATATAATTGAACTAAATAAAAAAGCATGTTACAAGTATTGAAATTACATTTATTATATAAACCAACAGTGTCTATTAAATGTAAATCTAAGGTCTGCAATCCCTAAATATCTTTTGCCAGCAGCAACACATTTCATGTATTGTAAGTAAGGTCAGTTAAAAGAATAGTATAACTTACAGTAAGATGAGACTTGTTGATTTTTACATTTTCACACATGTCCTGAAACAGCTGTAAATTGGTGTGGTCCAGAAGGAGATAGACGGACACATTGCGCTTTCTTATCGCCTCCAGTATGTCACAGAAAATCTCCACATCGCTGAATGTGTCCATAACTATCGCCAAAACCTTTGATGAGTGTAATTTAGGCAAAAGTTACATTGAAAATTGTTTTAGACCACTGCACATTCAAAAATGTCAGGCACTTTCCATAAATAGAGTACAAAATAGGACCTGAAAATTTGACTTTTTTTTTTTCATTTTCAACAAATGAGGTGCTTAAGCTTTAGAAAATATCATCTTCAGAATTTCAGGGGCTTAACTGAACAAACAAAAAACAAACGAACAAATAAAAGCTTGAATTTGTTTAATTTGTTTCAACCATGTTCTCAAAACTTTGGACAAATACATTTGAAAAGTCTTAGTTGTGTTTGAAGAGCAACCAATTTCTAAAAACAAAACAGAAATAATTACTTTTTTTTAAATTATAATTGAACTGAACTGAGCTGGATAATGACACTATTGCACTCAGCATTGTAAAAAAAAAAAAAACTGGGATTTACTTGGAAAATTTTCACAAATTTCACAAATAATTACAAAGCAACATCGTGTAACACATTGAACACATTATATGTGAAATTTGACTTAATAAAAATAAATTATAATGCCAGAAAATAGTTTGATGGCAAACATGTTTAATTTGTGCCACTAATACTTAAAAGGGTCATATTATGCTATTTTAAAGATCATTATTTTGTGTATTCGGTGTAACAGAATATGTTGACATGCTTTAATGTAAAAAAAAACATTATTTTTCAAATACTGTTCATTATTGTAGGTCCTCTATGCCCCGCCTCTCTCAAACGCTTCGTTTTCTACAAAGCCCCTCCTTCCGACAAGCACAGTCTGCTCTGATTGGCCAGCTGACCCAGTGCATTGTGATTGGCCGCACACCACAAGAACGCGTCGGAAATGTAACGCCCCTTACCATAATCGCTAGCTTCATCTTTCATCATAAAGAAGACAGTACATAATATCCTTAGTTTTTCCATCAATTCAAGCCCGAAAGGGGAATATTTTTTCCATCAGTTCAAGCCCGAAAGGGGAATAGAGTAGTGTGACAGACACAGTGATGATGCTCGTATGTATTTGCAGTACACAAGCCGCGATTAAGAAAGCTGACTCCACTGTGATGTGAACCTGTTCCCCTCACACACACGACGGATACTCTACACGGCGCAAAACTCCGCATTTGAACAGTCAATAGCAAATACTTAAAACTATTAAGAAAACATACTTACAGTAGCTGATTCAGAATAAGCGCCAGATTGTCATAGCAAAGTCGGAATTGACCCATTTTTTTTTAAATAGCCTTTGCACAGCCAGCTTTGTAGGCTACTCTCATAAAATGCATTGCACAAATTCGAACATCTGGGTTGTGCTGTTCTGTTGTAAATAAATCTTAACCAATGATTCCTCATTGCATCTACTTTCGGAAGGCCAAATAAAGTGCTTTTGCTTTTGCACAGAAACACACAGCGTCTCCCTGACATGGCTGCATCAACACTACTGCTGTTCCTGAAACCACGCCTTCTTTCTTTGCGTGAACATTTGGGCGGCATTATATTAAATATTTCCACATCGTGACCTAGAGATGTGGGGGCGTGTTTGAATGAGGCATTTTAGCCGGTCTGGACCAGCCTTCTCTTTTAGATAGAATAAATCCTTTCGTGGGAGACTTTGAGCTTTGTAACTCTGCAGATCTTATACATGCACAAATAGCTACATAACAGACTAAAGAAAAGGAAAAATAGAAATCGCATCATATGACCCCTTTAAAAAAAAAGCTGTACACCTAAGTGTACCGTATTCATGGAAAGTGCTGTTTGTAATTGCAGCATTCATCTTCCTTGCATCACAAAAGTGATATTCGAAAAAATAATGGCAGTACACAATCCAAAAATGTTACTAACAAATGACAGGTTCTTACTTTAGTTGCTTGCCTGATGAGTTCACGCAGCAGGTCTTTCATGGAACATGATTTCATTGAGTGGAAGAACACTTCCACACTGGGAATCCCTTGCAGATGGTAACTCCAGTCAGCCACCGGCCAGCCGTAGTCAAGAACTGGAGGCTCACTCTCTGTGACCGCAGGAAAGTATGTCTCAGAAGAAGCTGATGGAGAACCGGACATCTCTTCATCCCTGTCTGTCTCTTCATTGTCAGTGAGAGGCTTTTTAATGTTGTTTAAGATGTATGTTTTCTCCTCCGCTGACAGAAAGTCTGCTTCATTCTCTTTGTTCAGCACTTCCTGGTGTCCATCATTCCCTCTATCCAAGAGAGCATCCATAGCCAGTCGTGTGCTCTCGTTGTAACTCAGATCTACTGAAGACACCATAGTGTTTGGGGTTCTCATCTCCTGAACTCTTCTTCTCATTTTTCCTATCAGCTTTGGCATCAAGTAACACTGCACTGACAATCCATTACTTACAAGGTTCATGTTGTTTGCATACAAGTCCTCAGCTGACAGATGACTGGTTGACTCTTGCTCATTCAGCTTTCATATTTAGTCGTCTTTTACGCTTAAGGCCAAATGATTATCCATACAAACATGGTGTGGTGCTACAGTTAACATCCCCAAGGTGATCATCAAATGCTCACAAATAATGCTGCGAGATATTCATGCACCATGCATCTTTTCATCAGCAGTGCAAGCGTTTCATGGCACACTGAGCATTTCTGAACCAATTTGTCAAGTTTTCATGATGAGTGAGTTGAAAATTGAATGTTAGTGATGCCCTATGGCTCTGGGGAAAAGTAGTTTGTGGCTCCTCCTCGCACTAAGAGGAGTAACTAGCGTTCACAGACGGCTTCACCCCCAGGCATCGGTGGGTGGGGTCCTGTGGTTAGCAGGTGAGGTGTTGAGTGAATAATGAGACTGAAGCTCCCACGTTTTCCATCACAGAAATGAAATGGCGTGAGTGGCAGGGATGAAGATGTGGATGTCAGATTCATTTCACTCATGCAGCACTAGACCTGTTCCTGTGTCCTGACACACCTGCTTAATGTAAGCTCTTAATGGCTTTGTAGAGTACATGGGGTATTGAAAGTTTTTGTTATTTGGTAATTTAATAAGTCATAATAAACCTCAAACCCCAAGTATAAACTTAAGCATACATTTTCCCACACCATTTGTGCTACATACATAATTGATACACCAAACCATGCAGCTTATTGAAGAAAGAGGCATTATTATTTTTCTAAGTGACCAGATATGCGGTTGAAATGAAATATAAAACGGACTAAACAGACCCGAATATCATAGAGACTTTTGATTTTGGCCAATAAACAACCACCCAGACCACCCTAGCAACCACAAACAGTAGCAACTCATTAAAACACCCTGAAAACCTCCTTGACTGCACAACAACACTCTAGCAACCACCCATAACACCCTAACATTGTGGTGGCAAACACCACTTATTGCATCAGAAAATGTAAATATCAAGTTGAAATTATTGGCTTATGCAACACATGAAAATATGGATATTGTCAACCAGTATCATAAACAGAGAAGACGAAATACCATACACTATCATAGCTTGCAATGAGTTACAATATTTAGACTTTCACCTAATTGCATTAAAGGGGTCATATGATGCGATTTCTATTTTTCCTTTTCTTTAGTGTGTTATGCA